GGCATTTACTTAAAGCCAAACAGGTATTTACCCCTACCGGTGCCATAAATGAGGACTACAAACAGTTTGCTTTATTGCCACGTTTTGAGGCTCGCGAAAAAATTTTGCAACAGCTAGGAGAATTGCAGCTATTAACTGGTGTGAGGGACCATAACATGCAATTACCCATTTGCTCACGCTCTAAGGATGTCATCGAGTATATGTTGAGAAAACAATGGTTTTTGCACTGTCAACCCATGGCCGATGAGGCTTTGGCTGAAGTTTTAAGTGGACGTTTACAAATTGTACCACCTAATTTTGAAATTGATTGGCAAAAGTGGCTGGAAAATTGTCATGATTGGTGTGTGTCGCGACAATTGTGGTGGGGTCATCAGATACCAGCCTATAAGGCTGTAGATAATACAACCAATGAATCCACTTGGGTGGCTGCTCATTCAGCGGACGAAGCTTTAAGTAAAGCAGCAGACATTTTAAAATCAAACTCAATAACAGTGACACAGGATTCTGATGTTTTGGATACTTGGTTTTCATCAGCTTTACTGCCATTTTCCGCCTCCAATTGGCCTTCTGAAGAATATAAGAAAGATTATCCTTTAGATGTTATGGAGACGGGGCATGATATCTTATTCTTTTGGGTAGCCAGAATGGTAATGTTGGGTGTGAAGCTGACGGGCTCAGCACCTTTTAAAAAAGTACTTTTAAATGGCATAGTATGTGATGCTCATGGACGTAAAATGTCCAAGAGTTTGGGTAATGTAGTGACTCCTCAACAAGTAGTGCAGGGAGCTTCACTGGAGGTAAATTATTGCTCTTAATATTCATATCTAAATGATCAAGTTTATACTTATACATTTTAGTCGCTACAAGAGGATGTCAAAACTTCCCACAAAGCGGGCATTTTAAGTGCTACAGAGTTGCAAAAATCCCTTAAAGGTTTGCAGCGTATGTTTCCTCAGGGTATACAAGAATGTGGTACGGATGCCTTACGTTTTACCCTTTGCAGTCACAACATCAAAAGTCATTTTATCAATTTCGACGTCAATGAATGCTACACCAATAAATTGTTCCTAAATAAAATATGGCAAGCTACAAGATTTACTTTGGGAGCAGCAGAACGTTTAAATATGCCTTTAAATGAAGTGGAATCTATGAATCATGTTCCCCTAACGAAATGGGATCTATGGATTTTAAGTCGTTTAGCGGAAACCTTAAAAATATGCCAAGAAAGCTTTGAAAACTATAATTTACATGCCGCCACCCACGCTTTAAAGCAATTTTTGTACAATAATTTATGTGATGTGTATGTGGTGAGTTAAATTATCAATATTTCCTATTAATTAGATTCAATTAAGTTAATATACTTACTTAAAATAGGAAACCTGTAAAGCTAACATAAATTCCCAAAAGTCTGAGGGTTACATACACTGTGCCACTTTAGCCACTGCTTTAAGCTGGTCTCTACAGGCAATGAGTCCTTTTACTCCCTACCTAAGTGAAGAATTGCTAAAATATTTGCCTCAAAATATCGAAATTGAACTAAATAGATTCCATAATACTCAATTAGAGCAAGAAATTAATGAAATTTTGGATATTTCACAAAATATAAGACAACTTAAGAGTCGTCATAATATATCCAAAAAATATGATCCACAATTAAAGCTGTATGCTCATAATGAAGAAGCTTTACAGCTCTTGCAAAGCCATATACAGGAAATACAAGCTTTAACTTTGGTAAGAGGTGTACACTTGGAAATGTTAACTGATAGTTCTAAAACAAATAAGGATTTGAAATTATTTTCCACTGCTGGGCATTTGTGTAGTTTTGGTGAGTTTATTTGTTGGCATTTGTATTATTTTTTATTTTTTTTTTAAATAAACTTGTTTCTGTTTTTTAAGGTATTTCCACGAATGATTTGTACAAACCTAAGGAAGAAAAGTCAAAGTTAGCTAATAATCTTAACGAACAGAAATTACAGAAACTGGAAGCTGAATTGAAACGCTATCAAATGCGTATGGAAAATGAGGGTTTCCGTAAGTCAGCCAGTGCAGAGGTACAGGAGAAACATGCCCAAAAGGTAAGACGATTTTGAGATTTTCTTTAACATTTTAATAAAACTATAGACTAGACCAGGGGTCGGCAAACTACGGCTCGCGAGCCAAAGGCTGCTCTTTGGATGTGGAGCTGTGGCTCTTTAGTTTCATAAACACTTTCTTATTTTATAAAAAAAATATTTATATATTTTAAAATCTTTCGGAATTGATTAACGAGCAGTGTTTGTTAATATTAACAAAACAATTCGCAAACGTTTCTACAATATACACAACTTTTCATCTTTGTTTAATCGTTCTGTACGTAAGCAAAATAAAGCAAATTATTTTTGGGCGAGAAAGAACGAAAACAAAACAATTAGTTTTCAGTCATTTCCTTGCTTTTATTTACCCTTGTGCCATTTGGAATTGGTACTGGATCTCTAGAAATGCAGTTGATCAATTTAAGTAGTAAAGCTTTGGTTGTGGAAAATTGTCAAAGTTTAAAAGCCAACTAACAATTGAAAGTTTAGAGTCGTTTGTGAAACTTTAAACAACAAGTTGTGATCCAAACTTTCTAAAGCCATACAAACCTATCTCTCCCACTGAATTTGTTCCATGTATAAGGTATTATTGTAAGAAAATGTTTAATTCTTTAAATTTTTAATTGAAAAGTTCACTATAAACGAATGGGGCATCATGAGCGCTCCTACGAAGATAAGATGTAAATCATGATCATACATTCCGAAATTTTCATATTTTTCGAATTAAAACATATTTTTTGGAAATTGAAAGTATCGTAATTAATTAATTAATAATGTAGAGAGTTTAGATACAGTTAAATACTAAAAACTTGGTCCATTTGAAAACCTCAATATTTAAATATTGCATGTTTTAGAAACGTTTTACAGTGATCTATAAAAGATTTATATATTTTCAACATAAAATTTTTGGCTATAAATAAGGGACCAGAAAGCGTATTATGGACCCATCGTTACAGAATTTGGTACAGATATTTTTGTTTCTATAAATTTGTTTATGACGAATTTCACAACTATGCCGGTATTATGAGCGTTAAAGTCATTTTCCGAAGAAGAATTTATATGCGGGTATGGTCAACAATGAACTGATCATTAAAAAATTTTGGAGAGAGATTTTTCTTCCTATAATACTTGTTAGAGTCATTTTCCGATGTAGATCTCATAAAAGGGGATTGGTCAATTATGTTCGGATCGTCTTAAAATTTGGTCGAGAAATTTTGTTCTAATAAAACTTGTTTGTGTCAAATTTCGTAGCTTTTATTAGGTCACTTAAGAGCGATAGGGTAATTTTCTAGTGGTGATCTTATATGGTGGTAGGATCAATTATGAGTCGATAGTCACCAAATTTGGTAAAGAGATTTTTGTTCTTGTTTGTGTTGAATTTCGTCATAATACAGCTATTATTAAGACAGTTATGAGCGTTAAAATCAAATTTGGAAGATAGATATTGGTTCTTATAAAAGTTGTTTATTTTGAATTTCGTTGAAATATTGCTACTGTTAAGTCAATTATGATCGTTAGTCATTTTCTTAAAAGGACCTTATATTGGGGTTGGTAAAATATGGTTCGATGTCCGCAATACATCACAATATAATTTCTGTTTGCATAAAAAAAACTTTATCTTGATTGCCGCCAAATTAATATATTACTTTATGCTGTATTATTTGCGTCATCAATTTTCGTTACTTTTGCATTTCCTGATATGCTTCGAAAAGCCTTTTAAATTATAGCACTGTCGCCCTACTCTAATAAACTTCTATATTTTTATATAACGAGTGTTTAAAAAATGCATTCGAATGACACATAAAAATTCAAAAAGTATTTGTAGTCAAAAATCTATAAGAAAGATTTCATGCATAATGTCCTGTAGATAATTAAATCAAAAATTATGTTTTTGAAGTGAATTCATAAAGTATTTCGTCATATGAAATCCAAAAAGCCCTAAGTTACATTGAACAAGTTTTTTAGGAGAAGCAAAAAACCGTTTTGCTTACGGAGATATGAAACTTACGCCCTTGAGAATTTTTTTTTCTGAAACCCAAAAGGGCGTAAGTTACATTAAAAATAGTAAGTTTTAACATTTTCAACTAAATTCAAATCAGGTTTTTTTGGTTTTGTTTTCATAAAGATTTTCGGAAATTGGAATTTTTCTTTGAAAAAATTCTAAAACTGTTAAAATAATCTCTATATTACAAGGATTCGCTAAAAGTGCCATTTTTGTTTTATTTGACTTATAACATTTCACAGTTTCGAAGTTAAAAATTTAAAAGAATTTTAAAATTTTCATGAATTTTAAGGTAATTTTATAACATAACCTTTTAGAATTTCTTTGATAGGGACGCTGATTTTAATTGTGGGAGTGTAAAATTTAGCAGGAACATGCATTTTGATACGGTGCGTCATAATCAATCAAAAAGTCGATTTTGATTTTTTTGTAACTTTGGATTTCATATGACGATTTGTAAAGTTTTAATAAACAAAAATTTTGTGGCTCTTTTAAAACATATGTTTTGTAAACTGTAAATTTTGGCTCTTCCGACTCAAAAGTTTGCCGACCCCTGGACTAGACTATAAACTAGACATCAATTCGTGTGAACTTGTTTCATAACTAATCACAACAAATTCCCAAATGTTTCCTGAGTTCCTAAATTAAATTTTTAAAATCTTAAATACTTTATCTTATATTTCTTGTCCTTTCATTACAGATCCAACAATTGGTGGTAGAAATTGAAAAAATTAAATCCATTGCTAGTTGATTGTTTGTTTTTTAATATAAATTATTATAAATAACTATTGTTTTTTTCTTTTTATTACAAAAATATGCGTTAATATTATGTTATATTGTAATTATAAAAAAACTGTTTAAACTTAAATTAAATTTCTTAAATAAAAAAACTATTTAAAGGCTAAAAGTCCTTATTTTACTTAAATTAAGTACATTTGTTATTTTATTTTCCACTGTTTTTTTTTTTTTATTTTTAATTTGTTGTTAATAAATCGTCTTAAAGCTCTCAACCTATAAATTCCTCAGTCATTAAAAAAATAATGATTTGTATAAAAAAAACACTGCAGCAATCTCATCATATAACCGGACAGCCACTTTGTGAATACGAAAGATAAAATCCACGATTTGATATATCGAAATCCTCATTGTCATCTGTAACGACATACAAAACAAAAGGTTTGGTAGAGCTGGTGGTGGATACCAAACCCAAACCACAAAAACGATCACTGGGTAAGGTGTTACCATTTTGTGTGGGATTTGGTATGATAACAAAGTCGGTGGTACATTCTTGACTTTGTACTGCCTCCGTGGCCAAGAGTGAAGGATCTACAGCACCCACATCATTGGTGAGAGTAAAGGAATAGGCATCCGAGTCTACTTGGCTCCAGGTTATAGAACATTTATTTGCACCCATACGTATACAAATGCCATAACGATGATTAGCTATTTGTCTACTACCCGGCACACCAATCGAATTGGGTAAAGAACTGGCCGCCGAACCATAATTGAAACTCTGTACGGTGCCACTGTCCTCCATATAGTATTGCAGACAGCCGGAGGGCGCCAGTGTGGGTGAGGCACATGCTAATTGTGCTATTTGTAATTGCCACTGACGATTGAAGGTATAACTGGAGGAGGTGGCTACTGAAATGGTTATGGGTGATTCACCATTGAAATCTACATAAACATGTTGTCCTGAATTATCACCACATATGGCTGGTACACGCGACGAACCGCCCGTTATCTGTAGAGAATCGGTCAAACAGAAACCATCACCATTTGGTGGAGCCAATTGTAGCGAAAGAAAATCAATTCTAAGTTGACAAATATTTGAATCGCAGGGTTGCACCACTATGGTACATCGGCCGCCGCCACTGTAGGTACCCGGATAGCCGGAGTTGTAGAAATAGGTGTTATTGTATTGGGTGGTAGCGCCGCAGGTTTTCTGATCTGTGTAAAGATAGAGACATTATTTTTAGATTAATTTTATTTTATAAACTAAATAACTCTTTAGTTTCCTAAGGAAACTTTCCTTACATATACAACAAACCGCCTGGTTGGTAATGGTTGAACAACCTCCTGCTGAAACTCCTCCATTATCGGCACATTCTCCTCTCACCATACAAGTGCCATGAAGATTATTCTTGCCTGTACACACCTCATTGGCAAAACGACCAATTGTATAGAAAGGAAACCCTGCAAATATAAAAATAACATTTCCGTAATTAAAATTTTTAATATAAAATTCCAACATTTGCAATTAGCTAAAAAAAAACAATTTTTTAAATTTTATTTAGGAAGGATAAAATTAATAACTGAAAAAATTTTGTTAAAATAAGAAAATTCGTCTACCCTTTTCTCCTACTCTACCCCTCTAGCTAAAATTCCATTTCATTTCATGTCATTCCTTCTAATTTAATCCCCATTTCAGTTCTCAATAAGCCGTGGTCGCGTAAAGGTGTCAGTCGCATGTCGTTAAATTAAAATCTTAAAAAAGTGTTATTAAAACAATAAAGAATTAAAGCAAATTATAATAAATATATAATAAAGTGCAAATTTAATTAAAATTAATAGTTTTTTGTTTAAAAAGTGAAGAACTTAATCCTCAAAATAACCAATTTAATAATCTCAAATACGCATTTTTGCAAGTCACTTGTTTTTTTTTTCCTTACATACATATACACATACAAAAGTATACGCGCATCTTCATAAAGAAAAGAAAAAACAGCAACAGTTTTGTTGTTTTTGTTTTGGAGCTCAACTTTTTATTTGTTTTGCTTGCGCTATTGGTTTAACAACAACTACTTTTGGTTTCATTTCCGTTAGCATATTTTTTGTCTTAATTTCCTTGTTCCTCTCTGATTCATTTTTTGCATTGTTATAAATTTTTTAGATTTTCTGTTTTTAATATAAAATCCTTAATAAGAGTTATTAATTAATAAAAAACAGTATAGAAAGGAAACCCTAAAAATAAATAAAAACATTTCTATAATTAAAATTTTAAAAACAAGATTCCAACATCTGCAATTAGCTATAAAATAAACAATTATTTAAAGATTTTAGGAAGGATAAAGTTAATAACTGACAAAAGTTGTTATGTTATTAAAATTAGAAAATTCGTGAACCCTTTTCATCCACTCTACCCCTCTAGTCTTAATTCCATTTCGTTTCATGTTATTCCTTACAATTGAGACTAGACTATAAACTAGACTATAAACTAGACTATAGACTAGACTATAGACTAGACTATAGACTAGACTATAGACTAGACTATAGACTAGACTATAGACTAGACTATAGACTAGACTATAGACTAGACTATAGACTAGACTATAGACTAGACTATAGACTAGACTATAGACTAGACTATAGACTAGACTATAGACTAGACTATAGACTAGACTATAGACTAGACTATAGACTAGACTATAGATTAGACTATAGACTAGACTATAGACTAGACTATAGACTAGACTATAGACTAGACTATAGACTAGACTATAGACTAGACTATAGACTAGACTATAGACTAGACTATAGACTAGACTATAGACTAGACTATAGACTAGACTATAGACTAGACTATAGACTAGACTATAGACTAGACTATAGACTAGACTATAGACTAGACTATAGACTAGACTATAGACTAGACTATAGACTATAGACTAGACTATAGACTAGACTATAGACTAGACTATAGACTAGACTATAGACTAGACTATAGACTAGACTATAGACTAGACTATAGACTAGACTATAGACTAGACTAGACTGATAGACTAGACTATAGACTAGACTATAGACTAGACTATAGACTAGACTAGACTATAGACTAGACTATAGACTAGACTATAGACTAGACTATAGACTAGACTATAGACTAGACTATAGACTAGACTATAGACTAGACTATAGACTAGACTATAGACTAGACTATAGACTAGACTATAGACTATAGACTATACTAGACTAGACTATAGACTAGACTATAGACTAGACTATAGACTAGACTATAGACTAGACTATAGACTAGACTATAGACTAGACTATAGACTAGACTATAGACTAGACTATAGACTAGACTATAGACTAGACTATAGACTAGACTATAGACTAGACTATAGACTAGACTATAGACTAGACTATAGACTAGACTATAGACTAGACTATAGACTAGACTATAGACTAGACTATAGACTAGACTATAGACTAGACTATAGACTAGACTGTAGATTAGACTATAGACTAGACTATAGACTAGACTATGGACTAGACTATAAAATGGATATTCATTAGACCATGGACTATAGAATAGACTAGACTATACACTAGATTATATACTAGACTACAACATAGATTATACTATAGATTAGACTATAGACTTGAACAAAGAATTACTATAGAGTAGACCATAGACTTGAATACAAAATAGACTAAACTATAGACTAGACATAATAATAGATTATAAGTATACTATACTATAACAAAGAACTACTACGTGGACGATTTATCAAGAGTTGCTAAGTTAAAAAAAAAAGTACCGAAAACGTCGTAAGGATAAGATAGGGAAAGAAATAAGATTTTTTCCAAAGCTTTGCCAAATTTTCTGAAGACCCCAGATATCTTCGGGATCTCAACAACTAATAATTGTATTAAACATGCATTCAAAAAGACGGAGAAAAAAATATAAATAATTGTGGTTTTAATTTTTTTGCAAATTAAATCTGCAAATAATATGAATATGAAATTAATATAAAATATCAGCGTGCCACATAAATAAATAAAAGATAAAAAATTGCCTTAAAAGCGTAATGTTGTGTTATTGTTTAAAAATTTTAAAAATAAATAAATAAAAAAAGTATTTTAAAAATAAGAAAAAAGTTCATTAAAACTAATAAAAAAAGCTTAAAAAATATGAAAAAATTAATTAAAGTTCATTATGGCCTTTTTTAAATAAAATAGTGAAATTTAAATAAATTAAAAATAAATTTAAAAAAAAGTGTTTGTGATTTAAATTATCCACCTGTCAGAAACATAAAAACCTAAACAAATATAAACAGGTAAAGTAATAAAATTATATTAATTCAAAATTAATCCATCGTTTTTTGTTTCCATTAAACTATTTATGTTGAATTTCGTCATTATATTGGTATTATCAATCCAGTAAAGTAATTTGAAAGCGATCTTATATTAGGGATAGAGTTAATTATTGACTGGTCTTCAAAAATAAATATTAGAGAGATTTTGTAATTTTTCATCAGTACACCATTATTATAAAGCCAGTTATGAGCGTTAAAGTCATTTTATGAATGGGGCCTTATATGGCAGATAGGGTTGGTTATAGTTCGAAGTCGGTCATACATTATAATTCCTGTGTACATAGAAATGACTTGTGTAAAATTTTATCTTGATTACTGCTTAACTAACTTATTTATGACTTTTTAAACAGTTATCTGTGGTTGCACTAAAACAGGGCCTAAGTAAAATAGTGCGCCGATATTGATAATTTCTAATACCAAAACCTTATCAATAGATAATAACATATATTTATATTTGTGCACAATTTCAGCCGTCAACCTTTTCCCCCGATGGTCCCTATTGAGATTTCAAAAGTTAATAGGTTGGTATGGCTAGATTGTCTTAGAATTTAATAAGGAGCCAGAATGTCTAGTCTATAGTCTAGTCTATAGTCTAGTCTATAGTCTAGTCTATAGTCTAGTCTATAGTCTAGTCTATAGTCTAGTCTATAGTCTAGTCTATAGTCTAGTCTAGTCTAGTCTATAGTCTAGTCTATAGTCTAGTCTATAGTCTAGTCTATAGTCTAGTCTATAGTCTAGTCTATAGTCTAGTCTATAGTCTAGTCTATAGTCTAGTCTATAGTCTAGTCTATAGTCTAGTCTATAGTCTAGTCTATAGTCTAGTCTATAGTCTAGTCTATAGTCTAGTCTATAGTCTAGTCTATAGTCTAGTCTATAGTCTAGTCTATAGTCTAGTCTATAGTCTAGTCTATAGTCTAGTCTATAGTCTAGTCTATAGTCTAGTCTATCTAGTCTATAGTCTAGTCTATAGTCTAGTCTATAGTCTAGTCTATAGTCTAGTCTATAGTCTAGTCTATAGTCTAGTCTATAGTCTAGTCTATAGTCTAGTCTATAGTCTAGTCTATAGTCTAGTCTATAGTCTAGTCTATAGTCTAGTCTATAGTCTAGTCTATAGTCTAGTCTATAGTCTAGTCTATAGTCTAGTCTATAGTCTAGTCTATAGTCTAGTCTATAGTCTAGTCTATAGTCTAGTCTATAGTCTAGTCTATAGTCTAGTCTATAGTCTAGTCTATAGTCTAGTCTATAGTCTAGTCTATAGTCTAGTCTATAGTCTAGTCTATAGTCTAGTCTATAGTCTAGTCTATAGTCTAGTCTATAGTCTAGTCTATAGTCTAGTCTATAGTCTAGTCTATAGTCTAGTCTATAGTCTAGTCTATAGTCTAGTCTATAGTCTAGTCTATAGTCTAGTCTATAGTCTAGTCTATAGTCTTGTCTATAGTCTAGTCTATAGTCTAGTCTATAGTCTAGTCTATAGTCTTGTCTATAGTCTAGTCTATAGTCTTGTCTATAGTCTAGTCTATAGTCTAGTCTATAACTATTTTAAAATTAATTTTTAATGCCTGATATGTACTATTAAAAGAATTATTTTCAGAAATTTTGAATTCGAACTTATTTTGCGAAGTTTTTCACGAGTCGATAGGGCGAGTTTAATATTGTTCTATTTCATTAAAAGTTTCGGAATTCGAAGTGCACTAATACTTTGTGAATAAACTTTTCTTCTTGTTTTTATTTTACTTTTCATTCAATATTTTTAGTACTTTTCATTTTTCCTCTTAAATGGTGTCACTTAGAAAAAGTTTATGCTAAATTTGTGAAACACGTTCTTAATAATTTTTAACAGTTATATAGAAAATAAACACATTAATGTTGATACAAAAGTAAATAATTAATACAGCATTGGTCACGAAATTAGCATAGAAACCATGATCACATTATGTCTTAACACGGACATTTATTTCGAGAAACCACGTGAGTTTTGTGAAAATGTGCAAATAAAATACAACTTTAAGTCCTTACCGGCCTTATTTTATCCTGTTATAAATACAAAATTTAAATAATTTTAATTTTATAAATTTTTTCTCTTATTTTATTTCCATTCTTTTATACACATTTTTCTTTTAAATATTTAGCGCCACTACGAGTACTGTGTACTCGTTTAATAATAATTCATTAATATGCGTAGAACTTTCACTTAAAACTTTTTTGTGCACAAGGTTTCCAAAAGTAGGTTACTATTTATTTATTTTTCAGATATTTTTCTTGTTATTCAGTTTAAATCGTGTTTATTTAATTAGTAATTGTCACAGATTTCTTATAGGCATCAGTTAATTTTAAAGAAAATACATTTTTTCTTAACACGCGTTAAACATTTTCTCACTTTAAAGTTATGAATTCGTGATTTACAACATGTAAATGGTAATTTCTTCTTTTTTGTTCTTTTAAAAACTTTTATATTTATTTCTTTTTATGACTTTTTATTTTTTTTTTTTATTATTTTCTTTTAAAATACTCACAACGTCGTGTTCTGGAATGCGGCGTTAGGGATTCCGAATCACTTATCTGATCGAGTTCATTTTGTAACGATATTTCCTTGCTCGATGAATATCGTATAATAAATATGATAAAACAAATAATATTATAACCGACGTAACGCATTTTAATTTTCTTTTTAAACGTAACGTTTTTATTTTTTTTTTGCCGGTTTTCTTAAGTGTAGTGTAGGTTTACTACACCCAAAATTATTCCGTATATTTCAACCGTATTCTCTTAAAACTCAAATACAACTAAACTGGGTTCCTTTGAAAATCTTAATATTTGAACTTATTCTTAAGTTAATCTATTGGGCGTAAAGGTGTTAATTGGTTAACAACATGCGGTAGTAGGTTTTGCTCTCTTTTAGTCATAAAACCATGAAAGTTTTGCTGGTATAGAGATGAGCAAAGTGAAGTGGAAAAATGTACTAATATCTATCAAGCTATCTATCTATCTATCTATCTATCTATCTATCTATCTATCTATCTATCTATCTATCTATCTATCTATCTATTATACTATCTATCTATCTATCTATCTATCTATCTATCTATCTATCTATCTATCTATCTATCTATCTATCTATCTATCTATCTATCTATCTATCTATCTATCTATCTATCTATCTATATATCTATCAATTTATCTATCCATCCATCCATCCATCTATCTATCTATCTATCTATCTATCTATCTATCTATCTATCTATCTATCTATCTATCTATCTATCTATCTATCTATCTATCTATATATCTATATATCTATCAATTTATCCATCATCCATCCATCTA